CCTATCGAAGAAGTGCAAGAACTCTTTCGCTGCATATTCAACAAACAATTGTTATTCGCTGGAAGTCATTACCGACAAATAGATGGAGTTGCAATGGGATCCACTTTAGGACCAATCCTTGCCGATTTCTTTCGAAAATTGTGCTCGGCCCTCTCCGGAGCCTTATCGCGTCTCTTCATTTCTATTGGCGGTGTATGGATGATACATTCATCGTATACGACTCCCAAATTTACCACCTGCAAATCATTGACCACTTTAACGGTGCGCATTCGTTGTTAAAATTCACTTGTGAGGTAGAGAAAGAGAGGGAAATCCCGTTTTTAGATATGTCACTACGGCGGTGAGCTGATAAGTCGCTTCAGAGGAGAGTCTTTCGGAAAGCGACATGGGTTGGTCAGTATACGCACTTTATTAGTTATGTGCCAGTGAAATACAAGCAAAATCTCGTGCGCTGGTTGTACTATCACGCTGCAAGAATCCACAACCCGGAAAGGTTAGACGCTTAGAAGGATTCCATTCTCGCGACACTACAAGCCAATGGGTATCTCGCTTCATTTATCAAGAAACCTTCCGTATTTTTTGATCACTCTAAAACAATATCAATAATAAAGAACTAGAAGGCCTTCGTTTCCGTTCATTTCAAAGGGGGTATCCCCTACGAGTTACTGAACAGAAGAACGTCGACCGCAATTGGCCACACGTATCCGGCTGCTAGAATACACATGCTTCCCGAGACAATTCCGCTCACCACTAAATACCTCAAAAACAGAATCCCGGTTCGTTCCGAATCATTTGTGCTATATCAATTCACCTGATCCTGTGGTGCACGGTACATCGGGCACACGACCAGGCTTCTGTCTAAGAGGACTGCGGAATGCTCTCTTGGTTCTCTACAACATGGCACGATTAAAAATGTCCCCACGTTATCCTGGAGCATCCGATTACTACTGGGCTTCAGATTCGGACAGAAGACGGATTCAAGGTAGTCTACAGTGTGCCGAATCGTGTTCTCAAAGGACTCAGAGAACGCCTGTTGGCCACTGCTGAAGCAATGGCGATTAGCCTATTACAACCTGAGTTATGCAGGCAAAGGACGCTAATAGAAGCTCACAGTTTGCCCTGGCTGTGACCAAGGTTCTTCCCGTACCTGGCAGAAACCTAGGCCCAAATGCGAATTTTGTGCCTCAACAGCCTATGCCTTCTTGCTTTAGCTATTTGTCCGTTTTCATACGTGAGACGGTGTGTTGTAACTTCTACCATCTGCCTTTGCTGATATAACTATCGTTTAGCATCACTGATTCTATTTAAACTGTCATCTAACCACTATCACAAGAGCTCTAGTTAGCTTCCTTGTTTGCTTAATCTTCCTCATACATGTAAATGCTTGACGAGAATTATCGAAAAGAGATATCTCTTCTCAACCCTTCTTCTTAACCCGAAATATGTCATCCAAAGTAGAATGTGCCAACATTTCTTAAAGAATGATTTTCACACAAATCCTCAAAGTCACCAAATTGGATGTAATAGGCCGGTATTGAACCGTCCTTGCTTCATTACCAGCTTTATGCTAGCAATCCTCCAACCATTCACAATTTTTCCTTGCTACATGCACATTGTTTATACCTTAGCCAGAGGCCGGGCTAAGGAATCAACACACTGCTTGAAGACGACGGGAGACAACCTGCCGAGTCCACATACCTTTCATGAGTGCAGCCGCATTAGCCTCTTGTGCATTGATGCAAACTCGATAGGATGCAGTGAGTCCGTAGACTACTGAAACCTTTTGGCTGATGAGTCAGAAAATGAGTCACTGCAAGCGTAGTATGAGTAGCGATTTACTTCTACGTCCACGTCAGATGTTGTGCTTTGACGTGTGACTCCGCTGAACTGTTTCATGATCTGCCAAACCTCACGACAACTATGGTTTCCTAAAGCTGTCTGCACATAGACTTGATTGAGGTGGTGCACTGTTTCCTGTATATGAGCAGAAAGGGACTTCACTAACCCACGATCTGTGCCTTTGAAGGCTCCTCCATTGAGCCTACAAAGCTGCTTGCAATTGGGTGAAGAAATGCAAGCAGCACGCATGAAGACCATTTCGGGCAGCAGAGATCATAGCAAACGTTCAGATAACTTGTCACTTGTTCGCAGTCTTTTTACACATCTGTGTTGACAAGCAAGCTGACATCGGTGGAGGCAACCATTTCTCTCAGCCTTGCAATATTTGCAGGGTGGGAATGCTTTTAATTCCGTCTGCGATCATCACAGGGACGCACATTCTTGTGATTTGTCTTACTGTACATTACAAGGGTTAAGTTAACTACAGCATTATGATCTTAGTTCCAAAGTGATGCTCAACTGTTGCTCATGAGATTATTGACAAATACTGAATTGAGGGTTACCTTTAACCCGAGAGTTGTAAGGAATTTGTTATCAAAGCCAGTGAAATCAGCTGCATATATGCACAGAGACTGGTCAGTTTTCCAAATAGCAGCACTCATAAGATCATCGTAAACTCTGTATGTTTCTGAGTTGCAACAACGGGGGGATATGTAGCTACTGGCTAGCAACATTGCTCGGTACCCATTCAGATATTTGGCCTGCACTTTGGGACCAAACAACTGATATCGTGTGACGAATAGCTGGAGCGGCTCTTCACTGATAGGCACCATAAGCGTTACTAACATTGTGGCACCTCCGGCACGATTCCGGTAGGTGCATGGGCGACCAGAACGAAACAAATAAAGCTATTAATTGCAACGAGGGTACTTTCAACATCTCTGTGGTCCATGCCTCTCACAGTGTTTTCACGACAGTTACTAATGCGTTAAGATCGTCTATTTCCCCAGTAGCCAACGTATATTGGCGATTAGAGAATTGAGTGCGCTCCTGCTTGTCAAGCTTTTCTTCCAAGTAGCAATTTCTATCCCACACGATGCATTTATAGATTTGTTCAGTTATCTGTAGATTCTTATTAAATTATTCCTGACAGATCGATTGTCGTTTCCAAATTGCGCGGAAATACGTAACGGCTTCAGCACATCGCTGTTATAGGTTATCATGGTATTGATTATGGAAACAACGTATGCTAGTAAAACAAAGGGTTTTTAGAAAGTGTCCTCGAAGACATGTGTGTGTCAATGCTTCCTTGAAAGAGGAGAATATAAAGCACCGCCAAATAAATAAGCGCATTTACAAAGAGCTAGGGAATACTTCTATCTACCTTACCCATAATGGTGGTTACATTTTATCCTCACAGCCGAGAAGTCATAAAACCCGATCGACCTACTTAATAGTTTGTACTAATCTGTGGAACCAAGTACACACTACTAGTAATCTGAGCGCGAAAACCTTGCTACATTCCGAACATACCTAACGAGCATTTTGCTTATGCCGTGGGTGTTACAAACACATTTGGATCACAGCCATATCCAGAGACGTCATCGGAATCCAGTGTAGACAATATATGAACAGCCAGAAGTCTACAATCAATTTATCCTTCCTTTATATTTACTTATGAAATGAAGCTTGTGCCTGTGCCACCTATGTTTCTTCATTCCGCCATTAACGTTGCGTTGTGTTTCACCACAAAGTAAATTTGAAAACTCCATAGTACCTTCTTTCGCACGAAATGGCCGTACTACGTACCATCGAGTCATTGATATGTGAGAAAATTCATAATCTGAACTATTTTATGTTTCATTGTTATTTTTTAAGGCATGGAAATTATAACACTACTTCTGTGTGCAAATAGTCCTTTTCACTTCAGGATCGTACACAGCTTGCTTTTGATTATATACACTCTGGCGCTAATTTACATTGAGGAGTTCGAAGAAACTTCATGGTGTCGCCACAGGCGCTGAAACTGTTTGGGAATAAGTTCCTAAGCATTGTATGCTTAGCTCGATTGCAAATGCGCAGTATATGTTTTGCCCCGGACACTAATAGTTCTGTTTTAGGTACTACTCAACACTTTCTGTCGATGCAACCGCTCCTGGTGGTGACCAGACTATCCGAATTGTCAGTAGTATGTTGATTGCTCCCTGCTCGATATTGTTGCGAATCGGAAACTTTGGCAACTTATTACAAGCTGTACCGTACGAGTTAGTATCATCGTCTAGAATCCTTGGTAGCAGCCCCACACTGTGAACTGTTTGTCGATGTGTCCGCTACAGCTTTACCGCGGATCCAGGTGGTCAACACCATTTAGTTAGATCAATGCCAACTTTTCCATACTTTGGTGAACGTTGTGTAGTCAAGCTTTGGTGGACTGCGCAGTGATCATGAACGATCTCGTACTATGATCTGAGTCGGATGAGTATACTTATATAAGTTTATAATATAGCTACAGGGCCATTGAAAACCATGTAGTTCATGTACTTAATAATTGAAAAAGTATCACAATGACGGCAACGAAGATAAAGACTGCTTTATAGAGGTTGTTCATTCGATGTTGTCATTTTTCATCATGCTAATAAAATTGGTGCACAGCATTTAAAGCAAGGCATAAATTCATGCATATCATCTTCCAATGAGCTGTACGGTGCTCCAGACACTCAAGTGTTAACAGCCAACAGTTTTCGTCACCTTGAACTCTCCACCCCGGAGTGCACACACGGGATCGATGATAACCAAACTGATAGTCAGTTTTTGACTTTCTGTCGCTACCTAGTTGGCTGACCACAAGGCGATTTCTTCTAGCGTAGTCCTGCGCGCGAGCGAATAATACGCATCTTAGTAGTCGCTCGCACGCCATGTGTAGGATGTGGCAAAGGATACACAATTGACGTAACGGTACAGTCTGCCGAGAGGAAGCTTTATTTTGCCCAATACACGACATCCAGCACCGTCGTTACAAACATGGCGTCCAGAGTCGAATGAAACTGGTAAACACATCTCATATGTGGCACCTTTCTGAGGATCAATGTGAAATGCTTTAGCTATTGAATAAAGTTATTCGTACATTCATAATTATCCTCTCCCGAACGATTTCTACCCAGCTGTGAACTGATCGTAAGACGTTTTATTTCTTCCGATCAATCTGATGGATCAGAGAAAAATATTCCCCTCCAAGTGCTCTCTGACATGCGGAAAATTCAGTTCTGTTTCTCTGTGTTACAAGTGAGTCCGATTTTGCTCCAATCGTAGCATATTTTCTCAATAAACTTTTATTAACGCGACTTTGTACTGAGATAGAGGTCACTGTATCACCTCTTTGCCACTCAAGCAAGAAAGGTTTCAATGTACCGTTTACATTGAGACATTTTCGAATTAAAACTACCGGGGAAATTATGAGTTCGCCATAGCCGTAGCGTTTTGTCAAATGGATTTCGGTTATACATAAGCTTGTATCGTATACCCAAAGTGAATGGAACATATTTGCTGCGACTTCTGGTTCCCCTATTCCGAAAAGTTTTTATTCTAATCAGCTGAGAGTTATTTACTAAGAACAAGGAAACTGAAGCCAATTTGATGGTAGAAGCACTGACTGAATCATTGACGGCTACAATTAATATAACCTTACAACACATAAAAAACCAGGGGACATTTTCCAAGCTACACCAGCCGTCCAGCTTAGAAGTAGATGAAGCACCACCATTCGTTGGTTGCACTTCAGACGGCAAGTTCAGACTGCTCTGGGCTCATTTCGGGAATAACCTAGAAACTGGAAGGCAAAATACGCTTGTTCTGCCAGTCGGTTGAAGTGAATTTCCAATTCACTGCAGAATGTGATTTGTTTGCATAATTTCGGTTTCCCAAGGTCTCATCGTCAGTTTTGAGGTGCGATGCAGACTGTTAACTGCCAGGGGTTGGTCATCGAGTTCAAACCACAGCTTCATTTTCTTTGCAGTTGCTTTCCTGACGCCAACTAGACAGTTGCTATCTTGATAGCTGGGCGAGAAAGCTGATTGCCAACGCGCGCGTGTTTGCCACAAATCGTGCTTGCGAAAGACCCTGCGAGTGTGTTGCCAGTGCCCAGTCGAAAGCTGATGTACTCGCGCACCAGACAGCAGGCGTGTTGCCAAGGCCTGACCGGAAGCTGATGAAATCATGCTTCAGACATCACATGCGTTGCCATGCACCGTGTAGGCGGACGAAGATTGGAGTGCCCTAGCACGACGGTGAACTGGACAGACGGAGCGGACAAGCAAGTGTGGAGCATGAGATTACAGCCAAATCCGCGTGGTGATGTTTGGAGTGTTGGTGAGACCGACAGATCAAAATGAGCGTTCTCTGTCCCAATACAACTGGTCAGCTGAGGCTTCTTCTGTCTTCCTTCCTATCGGGTTTGTCAAGACGTCAAACAGAGCAGGCGTAAGGGCGCAGATTTACCGGCTGGCGTGAATCAACCGGTCGATTGTAGGCGCAGCGTTATATCATATCTGTGAGCGCTGTATCAATACACGAAGCCTGTATGCTGAAGACCTTACTGTCGAACAACTCACTACCTATAAATTCTGTTTGCGCTAGTTCTTGTTCGACTAAGCGAACAAAATAACTAACCACTCTCTGATACTCCACTGTGTTAGCGTTTATGTATTATGACCACGTACCACCTATAGCAAAATAAGGAGAGGAAAATTAAAAGGAAAATTTTCGGCGAACATAAGATAAGGCTTCCAGCCTTTCGGAGCAACCTTCCGCAACATTGAATTTCATACATAACATGCGATACAGCCCGGCTTCTGTGAGCTGCATGTGCATCGATCAGCATGGCATGTCATATCTCACCATTCTACATGCCATCTTGGACATCACAGCTCATCTTCCATGATCACGCCCTTGATCGTGTGCCTCGCAATGACGAGAATAAACTATTTATTTATTTATTTACCAACATTTTGGTAGTGGCTCCAGAATTTAATTACTAGTTACGGGGGGAGACAGGCACACAAATCTTTTGATCGTGTCAAGACTATTGTGGTTGCATCATGTAAGGAGCAACACCTCAAAACCGTCGTCGGAGCATCTATAAGGCAACTTTGTTAAGTTGCACATTGCTCATATGCTTCCGGAGAAATACGGACCGATTAGGAATAAAGCTAAGCTCCAATCTGCATCTTTCCTGGTACCGTTTATGCGAGTTCACAGTGAATACTTGAGTTTATGTATATAGCGCATCGCAAGCCACTGGTGATCCTAACATGGGCGTGGGTGCCCTGTGGAACGAGTACTGTCAACTACTGGTACATTGTGTCGACCCCGCCTGATTTCTTAGGTTAGAAGTTCCGAGAGGACAATCATAAGCCATTGTATAGCTAATTTCTGGGTTATCCTTGGCGATCTAGTACACTGCGTTTCCGCGAGGCAACGCATGGTGTGCAAATGATACCTACGGATGAGTTCTTTTGTAACCTGATCATTGGATGTACATCTTATTCTGGTCTACTGAGCACAAACGGAGTCATGTGGCGTTAAAGAGGTCTCCTCGAGCGATATTATCAATTCGGACCAATAGAATGCGATTTTAATGACCGAACTTCACATCCTTTAATTCAGTGGAAACATTCACCACAATCTTCAGGGCTTCCGGATGCAAACCTCAGCCGCAGTGCAACCCACTTGGGCCGTGTCCAACGCAGTTGGCAGCCGATGTCTCCTTTCATCCCCGATGCCAAGCAACCTCGGGGATGATGGCTATGCTTTACATGGCATGAAGTTCGGTTGTTTTGTTTGATAGCCCGGCAAAGCGGTAGTACCTTGGGCATCCCGATACTATGCTACTTCACGATAAACAGAAACCAGAGTCACTTGGGAATAACATGATCTGGATGTTGTTATGATATATTGCGTTATGCTGGGCTACTAGTGTCCACGAAGTAGTTTACGCAACCTCACTTACAAGTTAAACTCTACTTGACGCAAGCAAACAATGGCTTATACACCTGTGAGTACCTACCACGATTGACCACGGGTATTGCGCATGCGTTCCTTAACCCACTACCTCTAAACCTATACTTAAATGCACACACGGACAACGCATAGTACAGTTGCCCTCTTACTTCCGCAACATTTTCGATATTCTATCCTCTGTACCAACATGATGGGACGATTACATTATGGGCTATAACACGCTTAACCCGTCCCATTATCTTATCAGTGAGGGGACAGATTAAGGACATATTAGAAGCAAACCTGCGGAAGTGACATCTTGCCACTCAAAACTGCATCACAAAATAGCATTACTAGCGCTTCTCGTAAAGAACAATCGGAGAGCTCACTCGCGTGCAATGATTTCGTACCTCATGGCACATAATAATTCTAAACAAGCTAGGTCACCGGAACACAATCCAGAGTAGTTCGTTAATGCAACCAGGTGAAGGGGGTTGCATACTTATTACGATTGATATCTCACCAAAAAGAGAAGACAACGCAGCAAATCTGATCCGTCTGTAAGGTGCAGAGGAATTGCAATCCGAATTTACAGGCTGCTGCACAAGACCTAATGTAATTGCTTTTCCATTGATTCATGCACCACTACTTGCGTTTGACAAGGCCTCGAAATGGACGACGGTTGTGAGGTGTTCAATGCGTTTAAGGAAGGTGTTGTATAAGGTGAACAAATAGATTGTGGTGTCCACTATCATTACATCACACGGACGAGTGTGATTAAATTCATTTATAACATTGGTATTTAAACACTAACTTCAAAAATATTAGGAGTGTTTGGGCATTCAAGATTAACTTTTTAAGCTGAGAACTGTCTCCATAATAAGTCAAATAAATCAGTCAGAGCGAACAACGTGTTTAACACATGTGAGGAGATAGGATAGCACTGAACTGAAATTCTGTACATCGGTTAAGCAATTTACTGAGGGGGGCATCAAAACTTCGATCTTTCAACAAGTCGACGTCTAGCAGGCAATCATGTCTTTCATCTGGCTTTGAAAGTGTTATGCACCCCTACACGAGGAGCAAAAAAAAGAACTAATTTGTCCAACTCACTGATGCGCACCTGTTTGTTTACTGGCCATTGGTGGGTTCTGAAGCTAAAAGAGAGAACGGAGTAAGAGATGGTATAGAAGAAAAATTTAATATGTAGCTCTTGTTTATTCAAACTATCGATGTGATATCGTCTTCAAGCGCTATCCGAGGGTTAAAATGAGATATTTAAAAAGCTTTTGGAAGATTATTAATGTGGGGTTGCTAACAAGTGATTTTAGAAGTGCTCCAGAGTTGCCACACTCGAACGGAAGAAAGCAACTTCGTCGACAGTATAGACGACCATACTGCTGCATTGATTTTAATTAGTTACTTCCTAGGTTAGTGTCTGAATACTGTATTCTGTAGCAACTAGAAATGAATTCCTACAACTTATCCGAAATATTGTGAACAAAGTTATGTAAATTTTCATCAGTGAATATTGTTATCGTTCTCGTGTGGCGGCCGGTGGCCGAGTGGGATGCGCGTCTGGTTTGCAACCACGAGGTCACCGGTTCTAATCCGCGTAGGGGCGGGCGTCCTCGCGGTATACTCATCCCACGCGCGACTGGTGTTGGTCGCGTGGCAGCGATGCGTCGTTACGGCGTACACTTGCGATTTATTATTATCGTTCTCATGTAACAGAATATCTGACTCAGAGTATTGCAGGACTCACAAATGTGATATGTCATCATAAGTGTGCAGTCATTCCCTGAATCGAATAGTGGTGAAAGATGAACCCAACAACATTTGGAACTGCTGCACAGATGTTGCCTCTATCACATGTACGGGCAAACTGTTCCAAATGTTTACCACCCTCTATATGAGGCACATTGGGTGGGGAACTCGCTTCACATCGGGCACCACAACTTTGTATCTGTGTCCGCGTTTACTGGATGGCCCTTGTAAGTGCAGCGTTAGTCAGCATGGACGAGTCACCGAGATGTGGAATATGGTAGGTCATAATGAGGTCGGCTTGAACCCGGCGTTAGGACAAGGTGTAGAGTTCTAGTCTCTCGCACCGGTCTTCATAGCGCAAGGCACGTAAATTCGGGATGGGCCTGGTAGCAACGTATTGGACCCGTCCGATCTTTGATTCCTCTCCTCGGGTAATCGGAAATCAGGCGGGTGAACTGTACTCTAGCATTGGTCTAATGATGGAAGATAAGAGACGAGTGGCAACCTCTTCAGACCATGTG